AAAGCAAAATCTATGCAACTCAGTCAACATCATTAGAAGACCTGCGACAAAGAATTGTGAATGAGTGCCTTCAAATTACTACTCAAATATTGCAAAATGTGCGGCAACGTTTTGAGCAAAATCTTTATTATTGCATGGAGAGTCATGGTGGCCATTTTCAACATTTACTTGCCTAGCGGGTCAGTTCATTCTTCATTTTTAAATTACTTTGCTGCCAAATGTATTGATCTCCACTAATGATGATGTATTAGTATTATTTAAGCTTTAAATCAATACATCTTCAAAACTACTGAACTAAAGTACATTAATTTTATATCATTATAAAGGAAATTGATTTTGGGGGTGGTGTCACCCCTGCTTAGGGGGCTGCGCGTGATTTTTTGCCAAACTTGTGTCCCGCTCGAAAACAAAATCGACGGGTCTGAGCGTTTTTCCAAAAAAAACTGAGCTGCCAGTAAATGCGTCTGTTTCGTTTTCGATGCGCCACCCTGTATACAAAATCTTCACTGGCATCCTAAAAATAAGTATCCCATCCCGCTTTTTGTGATTCTAAAAATATCACGATTAAAGGTATGTCGATGCATTTTAAAAAGAATCACTAGCAGAAGAAAATGAGGAATCGTCGTCCGGTATTTACGGTTCTAACATCTATCAAAATATTGTCCACCTTGTACGCAATACTTCCAGAAAAGTTCTCCTGGCATGCGGATTACGTGTGTTGACAACCCTTACGTAACTTTTCTCTATAGCGTTTCCCATAATTCCATCCCGGATTCCGAAAACAATCTTCCGGATAGAATAACAAACCCGCCAAACTTCCGAATAGCGTAATAACAACGGAATATGGTATGCCAATTTGCATAGCATTTTGTTTGAGTTTTATTTTTATACTTACACACAAGTACCTGTGGGTATATGGGAAGAAACTATCTGACATCGTTTTTTGTATAAATTGCTAATAATGATGGTCACAATAAAAGTAGATATTTTGATATAAAATGGGCGAAGGGTAGACTTTACGCAAGAAGGAAAAGTTCGCTTCCTATCACCTATGTGAGTGAGTGCTGGCAGTATTATAAGAAATCTAACGTCAAAGACAAGTATAACACCTATATATATATATATATATATATATTTATCACTTATAATGGACTAAGAGATGCCTTCAAAAACATGTGTATACCAAAAACCAATAGTCAGCAATTTGAAAAAAATATTAGTCACAAGAATTTAACAGTACCATTTGTTGTTGAAGCAGTGATATAACAAGAAGGTAATGTATGAGATTTGTATATTGTACTTGACGTCTCCTATTCTTTTGTGATCTTTAATGTCCTCCTAAGGTCTTTCAACATCACCCCCGTGAAATTTTTAGAAGTGGAAGCCTTAAAAAAGTGATTCAACGATAGCTACAACGTCAGAAATAAAAACACGAAAAATTGAACCAGGTATACAAATGTAGTAAGTAAATCTCTACGCATAAAATTGAAATGGTTGGACCAGTTTTTTTGTTAAACAATCATAAATTAGAACTAAATTTAAAATTATACGCGAGATACATTAATTTTCAAGTTAAAAATATTTGTTTGCAGGCCCCTAGAATATTGATTCTGAAAGCAAACGTATTTGTTTGAAATTTGTTGTTATGATGCCCTTTACATGAAAATAATCTGATAAATGGTACACACTGTATTCAGAGAAAATAAATATACTGTTATATGGTTGGAACTTGAGCATCGTTAGATATAGAGCCTTCTAAGACGCATTGATAGAGAAATGCCACTCTGATTGGAAAACTTTTCTAGATGTGATAGTGTGATATTTTTACGTACTTGTGATTAGTCTCCAGGTAAAATTTCAAATTATGCTTCATTAAGTTGGATTGATAATAGTAGTGATTGACATATTACTTAAAAGATACGTCAAATTGTTGTAGTATAAAAAATGTGTTTGTTCAATATTCCACTTTTAAGAACCCTTTATCATATTTAGATTTAGTAAAATCAATTCTTTCGCGTCCTGGAGACTAACCAGAATGTGTCTAGTAAAAATGCAGTGTCAATTCATGAGGATACATTTGTTTATTTGCACATTATTGCCCGAGTAAAGATTATGCAGCATTGCTGCAACACATTTTATAAGCAACAGTCTCATAACATCGAATATTTGATTAATAAATATCTTACATTAATTATTGAATATATACAGAAACATTCTTACATGCATACGCTTTCTCAATATACCTCTCTTTATACGCAAAAATAAAATTGTAAGCCACGATTTTTGGCCGTAATGTCAGAAACGAATATTGTAAAACCGATATCATACCAGGACTGGAGATGAAAGCGCTGATAACGAAGGACTTGTAACTTAAGATGTACAGGATGTTACCGCGAGTGTTGCACATCTCGATCCTCGTAGAGACTGTGAATGACATCACTGGCTCGGTGCTACCCTGCCCAAGGAATGTTTGGCGGTGTGATTCAATTTCTGCTTGACATTACTAAGACTCTGGACGGAGACAAACTGTGCTACCATTCACATTTTCTATGATGCTCGAGTTGTGTAAATTCGAAGGAAACATACTGTATAAGCAATCAGTTTTTTGAAGGTTTGGATACAATTTTGATTCTTTAGGATGTTAGTCCTATTATGGGGTAGGTTCATCTCCAGTTCAACTAAGAAGCCAGTACAATTTTTTCAACAGCGCACGTTCTTGAAAAACATATTTAGCTTCCGAACTGTTCTTCCAAAAAGAAAAACAACAGCTTTCATAAAAAAATGTACAACATTTTGAATACATGCACAAAAAAGACACCAAGTTAGAGCAGATATTCCTTAGCCCACACAATGCACAGCTACAAACTTTCGGTTTACGGAATAATGAGTTTCTATTCAAGATAAATCTCCACTCGCCTTTTATAGGCTATACAATAAAACAACAATGTGTACTATCGAGGGGTAAGGTTTTCGATTCCAATAGAATTCGGATATCGTGATAGCGCGATTCGCAAAACGCTACATCAACACAAAGGTGTACTTCGTATTAACAGCATAATAAAGCCAAAGTTATAGTGAACGCTTTACATGATGTGAAATCTAAGAAGCGCATAGGATACGTTCGTATGATCTTGCTGACGTTGTATGCCCATCTTCTTTTGATTCTATCAAGGGCAAGCATAAATCACAGAAATGTTATGGTTGTGAAAGGAGACATCAGAGACATACATACAGGAAGCTGAAGCTGTTTCTTTTCTCAGTATAATATAATTTTAACATAAATGCACTCCGCCTTTCATAGCCAGAATCAATAGACTTTTCTTTATTACTTAAGATTATAAAAATTAAGTGCATTTACTCGTGAAACGTTTAATTATTGGCACTAGGATATTATATAAATGCAGGGCTTAGTTGCAATGTCAGTGGTCATTCTGATGCATCACTTTTCTGCATCCATTCCCTATGAAAGCCATAAAGCAACTTCCCATAATATGGGTAATCAGAGAAATCAAAATATTTATGAAGAAGGCGATTGTTTGAGAGCAATTGAAACAGGGCAGGTTGATCACAGCAGGTAGTGAGGAATTTACTATTTATGTATATAATCAGCATGTTTCCATTCCAACTGCTTCGAAGGAATAGCCCTCTTCTTGAAGAATTTCGATTTTCATAATTCCTCTAGACACAGGCTAGACTACCCATATTTAATAAAAAGACGCTTAATTCATAGCAACCCGTAAGGTTGCGTTAATGAAGCCGCGCGGGTGGAAGAAATTCGTTAGTTCTATTTTAGTGACACACCACATTGAGTATCAGCATTGCAACTAAGCCCTGCGTGTGTATTTATGACATCCAAGTTAAACGTTTTATAACTGAATATTTATGTACATACTTCTTTTATATAACTTAGCTTTTAGTCGCGTTTGGTATGCAAGTGAAGTGATGCAATTGAAACAGAATACAAAAGGAACAGCTGAGCTATCAGATAACAGATCTAAACTCAAAACTAAACATTTTTGTAATTTGCTGACATGAATCGCTGTAAGAAGATAACTTTAAGCAGAGTTAAAAGTCTTACAATTTGAGTTTGTACATAAACAAAATAAACTTAACCTAAAAGCTATAAGTGAGAATAAATCTGGCTCAGCTAGGGTTGGTCTCTTTCTAATGCAGTTGAGATAAGGAAGGAGAAATTCAAACTGAGTTTTGGTAAAAAAGAATGCTATGAGCTGAGCAAACGAGCGCGGTAAGAGTATCCGAGGTTGTATATAAACGAACGAACTTTTGCCTCATTCTTGCTCAATGAGGAAAAGTATATTGGCTCTATTTAGTGTGAACTGTGGCTGGTTTGGTAGTTTTAGTTTGTATTGTAAAATGCCAAAGTAAAGTAAAAGCTTCTTGGAACATAAAATATACGCTGTGACTGTAGGCAACCGGAATGGTAATAACAGGTAGTCATGGATTGTATAAAAGTTAAAATGGTGTCTTTTTTGTAGCCCATTTCAGCCCAATACTACGTATATACGCGATCCTCAAGCTTCACTGGTTGTAGAGTAGTCTTTGCTTGAGGCAGTTGTCATAAACTATTTAAAACGCATTCACACACGATTGTGGCGACTGCTTGATGGAAAAATGGAACATGACCATAAACTATAATTCTTATGGAAAGACGAAGAATTTTCTGTTACTAAGATGAAGTGTTTACAGGGCTTTGCCCACATAGTGTAAATTTGATTCTCTCCTTCGTAAACCGTGTGTCAGTAGTAAATAGTCATTTCTAGAAGACACTAGACTGGCAGAATTGGTAGTTTTGAAAAAAGTGACACATTTTCTGAGACTTCTGTAGCAAAGCCTTATTGAAAATCTCAAAGCTTTCAGGATATCAACTATCCACAGAATCGTGACTATAGCGACACTTGTAAGTTCATCCATTTTTGAAAGTTCCATATCAAGCACCTCGTATACTCAACTAAGCATAGTTTCTACTATAATTATATCAAATGACTTCTGTCTGGCTTTGTCATTACGTCACACTTGATATTTTCATCCTGTCACACTTCTCACAATCTATCAACCAGAAATCAAAATTCTCAGTCATGAAATCAAAGAACCCAGAAGACCTATGCCCCAGAAAAAATATAATAAGGCGAAATGGTATAAATAAATCGAGATCGGGCAATGCATTCATGCGCTCCCCTGGTACTAGCCATATGTACTTCAAGCAGGTTTGTGCAGTGTGTGAACCAATGTTTCTCAGGTAAAGCTAAGATTTTTTACACCTCGTAGAAGTTAATGATAGATATTTGGTCTGGAGAAGTCACTATTATTATATAAATCCTAGTTAACATCAGACTACTGTCGTATCAGTTATACTGCCAGTATCACTTTCATATTTACATCTCCCTATAAGCGTTCTTAAATGTGCAACTAAGCTTGGCAATGTGAGTGTAGCGACTGTCTTGTGATCAGAGTTTAATTCTCATCGATCTTCGTTATAAAATATAGTAATGCCTGGAATTACAATTAGTGCACCATGTTGATAGTTTGTGCTAAAATTGACATATTACCAGAAAGTGAATGGAAAGAAAGGTGCTTATCTCCTACTTTACGTATGCCAGAATGAGTAGCAGATGCGTAGAAGTTCGGTTTTCGCTGTGTGCGTATTCACAAATAAATAAGTTACACTCATGATACGATTGATCGATCAGTATACTTATTTTGTTTTACATTAACGTCATAACCGCGAAAACGGTGAAAAGAAATATACCTAAGTCAAGATGAATCACAAGAAAAACCAAAGCATTTGTCTACTTACTATTCGTCAGTGTCTGTTACAGTGGTCTCTGGGACCTTTGCTTTTGGTTAAAGTCCGGTAGGTCAGTAGGTCCGACAGGTCTAGTTGCTTAAATATAGTTGTACGTCACGTCATCAACACCATATGAAATAAGTAAACTAATCTTCAGCGCATCTGCTACTCTCTCCAGTACGCATGAAGTAGGTAACAGGGAACCGCTGTTTTCAGTCACTACCTGGAAACATTCTAATAAATTTACCACGAGCTGTCAGTCTTGTCCATTGTTCGTATTTCCGGGCATTGTACAATTTTATATTGAAGATTGTCATAGGACAACTGAAATTGCACGCCGTAAGCTGTGACAAATATGATTGAAGGGCACTCATACGTAACGACAAAGTTTCCGAGAAGGAGACACACAACTAAAAAACGAATGGCTTTGAGTTTACCGAAGAAACGTTCACATACAGGGGTAGGTTTCATGTGTATGTATGAGGGAGATGAGAAATATAAAGGGATACTGGTAGTCTTACTTTAACCCGCCAAGAACGGTGACTACAACTATACCAGACAAAGTCATGAGAAAGGAGGGAAGAATTAAGTACCGAAGAGAGATGGCATAGAAGAAGAGCGTCGGGTGGAAGGCTACCTTGGCATTTTTAACTATCTGGAACTCGGGAAACTTTTAAATAGGTCTAGCAAAATTCAATTTTCAGGTTTGAATATAGACATTTTCTGTTTTCTGTAATACTAAGGAGCCAGCATATTCAGAAAGCAAAAATGTTTTGCTACCAACTGTTTTCTTTTTTCACATATGACTGCACGTAATCTATCAACACTATACTTTTGCAGTGCTCTTCAAGATGCAAAACGAAGCGTGCGTCAAGTAATAGCTCAACATTGGATGGACGTTAAAGATGAAATGACGAAAACGTTCCACCATAAATTCGTTGAGCACAGTTGCGTTTCGTGTGAGCCGATCTTGCAGTCTGAAGTCAAAAAGATGTTGAGGCAATACCAACATCTACTAGACACTAAGTTCCATGAGATCATGGAACTCTGTCACAATATAGTCACGTCTAATTTGTACAAAAAGTATCATTTTAAGACCATTAAACGAAGAATAGTCTATTTGCATTGTCTTTATCTCTGCTTTGTTCAAGAGAATTTATGTTCTTCCTAGGCATAGTTAATTCCTGATAGCTCATGGGGTTAACACTACTCTCATTTAGTATTTTGTACAACTTTGGTAAATGGTGTCAGGATAAGAAATTGTTGTTTTTACTTTAGTAATCTTTGTAAACTGTGTAAGTAGGTTTGATATCGTAGGAGTTTTATTCAATATCTTGGTCACTTAGATGTTACATTTTTCCATCTTTGCGTTCACCTCTCATTTTTTCGAATAAAAGAAAACAATGTAAAACCGAATAGTGCAAATTCGCGCGAATGGGTACTCCTAGTTCGGACGTATCATTTACAATGATAAAAATTCACCTACGACCACAGAAAACTAATTCATACCATGCTCATGTGAACGCAACATAGTAACATAAACAACGTTGTTTTAAATATTTCCTAATTCAGTATTTTCTTATTTAAATGTTTATAAAAGGAGGAATTATTTTTAGGCTACCGAAAAAGCCTAACTAGTGAAGGTGGCAATATGTGACCATGCGCCCGCGGTTCATGACTACTGAAGACAGTTCAATCGAAAATTATGTTTGTAAGAGAAGTGAACCATGAAGATACATCTTGACCTGAGGATTATTGAGATTTAAGTTAAATCGCCTGAAAATGTACACGGATGTTTCGAACAAAACCTTTTGAGTTATGTAGTTTTGTTAATTGGAATGTCAATCTATGTACACACAAAAAAGAGTGATCCTGGTTGAAGGACAAATATCTAATTGAGGAACCGTGACTTCGATACGTTTCTAAGACATATATCTTTGAATTAAGGTCAATCTCTCAATTGTAAGTGCTACGTTTCTTTAAAAGAACGAAATTACGACATTTGAAGTATCTGTGATCTCGATTCAATATCATAATTTCATAGAAACTCATGCTCTTGATCAATTGCACCCTTTTTCGTGTGTAGCTTTCAGTGTGTTCCAGTTGACTTAAAAATTCCATAGGATTGTTTCATATCTCATCGCGAATTGGGTACAAGTGCTGCTATAAATGCGAATAAATCAGAATAAAAAGTCGAGCAATAACTCACTTCTCAATTTCACGAGGCCCTTGACTACTTTCAAAATCAGATTTAGCCTTATGTTCCACATTTTCTTAAAACATAACTTTTACGTGGACCTTCAATAATGCGACACGACGGTTGAAGCCACAGGACGAGAGATTTAGAGAAATATTAATGTAAAACAGTTAGTTATTAGAAATATATTTTCAATATTTTTTCAACCATACGCGCAAATCTCACTGTTTCGTAGACGTAAAAAAGGACGGGTTGCTTTGAAGCTGCTCGAAGCAAATTTATCGCAGGCATCGCGGTGTTTAACCTTACATTGCTAAAATTATAAACATTTAAGCGTAATAAACTGTATATAACCTTTCAACGAAATACAAAAATAACGAGTTAACAATAACAAGGTACGTTTTGAAGACTTGCAGTTTCAAAATTAAATTTTGCGGTATGTGGAAGATTGCTTGGAAAAACTAGGTTATAGCATTACTTATGCGCAACAATTTGAGCTAAAAAGTGTATGTTGTCCATACTCCGTTAAAGTTGATATAAATTTGACTTCAATCACAGATTAACGAATGCTTTAGTGAATCACGGATGCTAAAAAATATTTGCAATGCCGTTCTGCCATTGTAGTATTTCTACTAATAACTAGCCTATGAAATTTCACATACGTGTAACAGTAAATCAGAGTATAAGATGAATTAAGTTGCAACTCATTCCAACTTGATGTGCAAGAAATCTTGTTTTTTGTGGACATTTCGACGCAACGAAACAAGCTTTTGTAACACCATAAGATTTAGAACTTAAGGGGTTGTGTTATGGTATGTAATGGTATGACCAAAAAAAATCTCAATTGCTAAATGATCAAATCTGAATTACTAAATGAATAACTATATTTCTCATTTTTTAGTTTCCTTATCGACTGACCTTCGTAATTATAAACCACATACAGTCAAGACGCGGATAGCCCCTTATTGCATTCCTCAAATAATCGAAAACCATTCCAACTAGTGGTATCACCATTTATCACTTTTATGGGTAATACAACTAATAGGGATATATTATCGTTATCTCTAGAACCACTAGGGTATACCAACAATTCGACTGCAGTTCTGACCCGATACCTTCATCAAGGTCAATTTATTGTCCACAGAGGCCTTTAATGTATTCCGTCATTCTAATTCTGTACTGGACGTTAACTAGGTATGGGAAATGCTCTCGGGGATACCTGGGTAATGTTAATGCATTGATCTGTCTATTTCCGTAACTCGCGTTTTGTATATTGCTGGGTCTTCTCGGTATACACTGTTTGAATTTTAAAACAGTACTTTGGAGATGAAATTCTATTTACGTCTACCAGCTGTATTTGAAATGCATTTACAGAAGATAATAAATAATCTTTTAAAGGTAATTGAATGATTCTAATGAGTACAGGGTAGCCAATGCTTAACTGACTGATTTATTTCCCCCACATCTTTAAAATAAATTAAAACACCTAAATTTCATCGTACTCTTACTGGATGATATCACATGAACGTCCGCATCTAGAAGTCGTACAAACCTAAGCACTCTTGATTATTTACTGCTATCACTTCTTGGCAGGTTTTCGGACGAGTCCGAGGGGTCATTCGCTGTGGAATTATAATAGTTGTACCCATAATAGGAATTTAAAGGAATTACGGTGAATGAACAGGAATTGCGATGAATGAAGGGGAATTATTGGGAATGACAGGGAATTATGGGGAATTATCGGGAATTACGTGAGGAAGTGAAGGCATTTTCAAGACTCCAAAGTGGAAACTGCTTAATATGAGCTGTAAGTTGAGCATAATGTGCTAAACGCCTCTTTCTTAACATTTGTTTCTTCTAAAGGAGACGCTTATGTCGAAACAGCACCTAGTAACTTTACCAAACCGTTACATCACCTTGTTCAAGTTTCTTGCATGTTATTATAGTGTGATAACGATATATACGTAAAGATAAGTCAAAGTATGGGTGCGGGTAACTTTTTTGAAAGACCTTCTAGAAGAAGAAGTTGTACATAGAAGTTATAGGGTCTAATATTATGACGTTCTTCTTGTGATATTTTTTTGTATACCGGGTGTCTCAAAAACGTGGTATTTAATGAAGTTGATTTTTTTTAACAGCACCTTGCATATTTTCAGCGAGACTGAGAGTCTCGTTTTTTCTGATTCCAAATATATATTATTTACTAAACTTATTTTTATTACTTCAGTCAAAAACAACTTTGTGTTTTATTTAATCGTAATATGTATTTCGGGCCTACACCAGAGTGCATAGGTAGTACAGTAAATGACAAGCGTTAAGACAAATCATTTTCACTAAAAAAAAAAACAACTTTATCTAATAGCACACTGTTTTCTGAGATACACGGTAAACAAAAAGACATATTCCATAAATTACTTTATATTAAACTCTATTGGCCGATTTCACCAACGTGTCTTAAAATTTAGGAGTTTCTTAATTCAAGTTAAGAACTGCCCAAATCCATTTTCGGTTTCACCAGTTGCTAAGTATTTCCTAAAGTGAGATAAGTATTACCTAAGATAGGTATTGGTTAAACAGCGTTCTAAGCCGGTTAGGAAGTTCTTAGCCCGTTTGACATTTGTCATAAGTGACGTTATATTCCTAGCGAATATAGCAGCTATATGGAAGTGATTGAATTTATCGAAGATTTGGACCATTATGACGATGATGATGAACATATACGACGTCCTCGTGTTCTGAGAGATCGTACCGATTATTTCGAGCAGTACGACGAAATGGATTTTTTCCGTAGATTTCGCATGAATAAAAACACTGCACTGATCGTCTTAGATCAAATTGAACATCAGCTGGCATATGCAGATTACAGGTATGTATAACAGTGTAAAGGTACCTAATATTTGAAATTAAATTGATAATATTTCGTTTTTACAGAAATGCTGCAATTGCACCCATAAACCAACTTTTTAATTGCGTTGCGATTCTATGCAACAGGATGCCACTTAACATCTGTTGCCGATTATGGTGGTGTTAGTAGTAGCAGTAGTTGCAGGATTGTAAAGAAAGTTTCTCATGCTTTGGCATCATTGCTGCAAAGATTTGTAAAATTTCCCACCACAAATGAAGAGAGAAATAAAGTAAAACATGACTTTTTTTTAATTGCCGGATTTCCAAATGTTCTAGGATCAATTGATTGTACACACATAAAGATACAGTCACCAGGTAAATTAATGACCTAATACCAACACAATATTATTTATGAACATTTACATTCAGGTGGAGATGATGCAGAAGTGTTCAGAAATAGAAAAGGTTATTTTTCATTGAATGTACAAACTGTCTCTGATGCAAAATTAAAGATATTAAACATTGTGTGTCGTTGGCCAGGATCTACACATGATTCTGCTATTTTTCAAAATAGCAGACTATGCTATCAATTTGAGACAGGAGTGCATGCTGCAGGATTACTTTTGGGAGATAATGGATATCCTTTAAAAGTAAGATATATGATATACATAATAAACAATATCTTAGTCACACAATCTTTAGTAAGTTAAAAAATAATAAAAGAAACAACTATTAATTTATTTGGAAATTTATTGCAGAACAATTCCATTTTATATCTATTCATTTTACTTCAATTTCCCATTTGCATAAGTGTGATCAAATCGTTTAGAGGTTCTCCATCTGAAACAAGAATAACATATATATTTCATGCTTTGTATACATTTGCTTTGGATAACGTTATTTATACATATTTAAATATTTTTAGAATTATCTGATGACACCCTTTTTAAGCCCACAAACTATCGGCCAGCAAAATTATAATAGGGCACATATTGCAACAAGAAATACAGTGGAACGACAATATGGAGTGCTAAAACGAAGATTTCCTGTATTGGCTACCGGATTAAGATTAAAATTAGAAAATTCTATAAATGTAATATTGGCATGCTCTGTATTACACAACATTTGCATAGATAAAAATGAAGATGTCCCACCAGTAGAAGTAGAGAATATTGAAAATGATATACAAAATGACCAAATGGAAAGAAATATTCAAAATGGACAAAATAATTTAAGTCGAGATATACTTGTAGCTAGACATTTTCAATAAAAAATTAAGAACTTCCTCACCTTTAATTTTTTTAATTATAAGATCCCTTATTTCAATATCTTTATCTAGTTTTCTTTTTTTGAGCTCGTGAAGTTCCATTTCCCTTCTCATTTCTGCATCTATTAGTTCTTGTTTTTTCCTTTCTGTTAAGCACCGTGCTTCATTCAAGGAGCTCCCTCTTTCAATTGAAATTAGTGGTCGTCTTCTTTGGTGAACAGGCGTCTTATCCTTGAAAAAAATCTATTAAAAATCATCCAAAGCAACATGATGATTATGCATACTATTATTTGAGGCTGAATCTGATGCTCCTGTTCCTCTTCTTCCTCAACAACAATGTTATCTTGTAAATCTGAAATATATCATTTTCTATTAGCATTGAATTTCATTACATATATATATTATAACATACCCAATGAAGCATTTTCTGGTACCATATTTTCTTTGCCTTCTTCAATATCGCAATCATTGATATTTTCCAAACCCCTACCAGCACGACCCAAAATATCTAATACTTTTTCCAGTATGGGGTCTGCTTTTACTTCAGAAGGCCCACCTCCAGTTTGCGAAACGCTAATGCGTTCTTTGGCCCGGTAAGTTTTCGCATCGCTCTTCAGTTTTGCCCATATTTTCTTCAAGCTTTCTACCTCCCTGCAAAAACCAATTTAACGTGGTAATGAATACTAATAAATATATAATAGACAAATATCTACCTTCTCTCCCCTGCACGTGAATTAAATTGTTGCCCAATTTTCAGCCAGGCCTCCTCCTTCATCTGGTTTGTAGAACCATCGGTTTTTTTGTTTAAAATAATGCTATTGTTTCCAATTAAAGACAATAGCATTATTTTATCATCGCTATTGAAATTAGCTGAGCGCTTTCTTTTTTGCACAATTATATCCATTTTAACCAAACCACCTAATAGCATTCAAGCATCCAAGCAGACAGCTGTCATGAATGACAATAATTGTCACTTGTCACTTATGAAATATCGAATCGATTTTTATGAAGTATTGCAACCTGACAACAAAAACTTTCTAAACACTGTGTCTTAACTAGGAACTTCATAACTAAGAATTACCTAGCCTGGTGAAACCAAAGATTGTATTTAGGAAATTCCTACCGCTAAGTAATTCTTAGTTAGGTTTTAATTTAGGAAATGTTGGTGAAATCGGCCATTAGACTTAAATATAAAACTGTTTTCTAGAAGGTCATATAAAAAAGTTAGGGACTTGACAACTTTGAACTTTCACTGTGAACGCACCTTTAAATGGATTACCGAACTGTCAATGTCAAGACATTCAGTAAAGAAAACATTTTCATCACGGTGAAGTACACAAACGAACAACTCTATAATTAGAAACTAAGAACTAAAGCCGTTCGATCATATGAAGCGGCGTACGTTCTTGAATTGGCCTCTAGAAATGTTGCAAGAAAGTGACCAATTTCATCGCAAAATCATCTTCAGTGATGAGGCGCATGTTTGGTTAAACGGCTTCGTCAACAAACAGAATATGCGTTATTAGTTAGGTGAAAACCCTCAGGTGCCTCAAGAAACACCACTTTATCCACAAAGAAAAACTGCCGGTGGTGTCATAGGGCCGTTTTTTTTCGTTGGTGAAAATGACCGTCAACGGAGATGTTGCAATGTTATTTTTTTTTCTTCAATTGGATGGGCTGGACATTAGTGATATGTGGTTTCAACAAGACGGTGCCACAAGCCACACAGTGGGAGAAACAGTCGGTTCGAGGAACGTGCTACATCGAGAAATGGTCCTGACGACTGGACGCTTAGATCGTGTGATTTAACACCTCTACACTTTTTTGTGGGGATATATTGAACCATTGCTCTATGCCAATAAGCCGGCGTCGTTAGAGGAGCTCAGAGCCAATACTGAACGAGATATAGCGGCCGTTTCTGTCGAAATGTGTGGCCGAGTTGGGTTCAACGAATCGATCGCTGCGAACGTCGGATTCCATACATAAATGTTTTGAGTATACCTCAACCAAATAATAAAATTTTCGAGATATCTCAAATGGTTTGCGTTTTATTTAAGCAGAAAGTTGTCAAGTCCTTAATGGATAACCCTTTATAGTGGTGCAGTGTCTGATTTAACCTGCCACGTTTTCAAAAAGCTTTAATGACACGCTGTGTGGCTTCTAGAGACAGTCATTTACACGATACCATTCTTCATACATAATTACCAACTGTCATTAAGATGAGAAAAAAATATGTTCTGGTAATTGAAATGTCATTACTATTTGGATCTTATAAGTTAGGATTGGGATTGCTATGCTGGACCAAAGAAATAATCGAAATTAAAAGTGAACCTTTTGCGTATCAATATATTATTTGCGGATACTATCGATTTCCTAGAGCGCAGACGTCTTCTAAGCAATTTTCCACATCCTGAGAGATCATAGTACCGGAATGAAAACACCAAATAATAGGCTTCTGTGATACTGTTCGCTCTAAGCTAACTAGGTATTTCGAGGATTCTACCATTACACAGATTTATCTATATAACTATGTTATTATGATGTACGAGTACTATCGCCAAAAGCTTTTTGTGCCCATTTACAATCGGTAACGAAAAAAAATCTCATCTTAGTTTGACTTTTTTAATTGTTTGACATACTGATACTGTCTTTGAGGTTCTTGAGTTCTTTTCAGCTCGCGCATGATAATACTTGATAGCTACTCATCAAAAACAACAACCAAAGTTGATTATAAAGCGAGATGCACTTCGTCGACCAGTTCGAATGCGTTTTACGAGTGTGAATAACTTAACATGTTTAGAGTCATGACAGTCCAAAGGAAACTACCCGATGAAAATTTTGTTGTGTTTAAAGTATCATATATGTTATTAGAACAGGGAAGGAGAGGAACGTTTCAATCTAAACAGAAACTAAAGTGATTATATCCTACTCGCCATTTTATTTTTATTACTTCGGCCTGGATTATTCTATTCTACAAGAATTAGCAAAAGTAAACTACGAAATAAAACGTGGTTTAGAAACTAGGATTCGCATTTCAATAGTTCTTTGTCAGCTTTCAGATGGCTTTATTTTATAAAATCTTACCTTGTGGTGAGCTATACGTATATTAGAGTAGATAGATTTACAACTGCCTATTTGTAAAGATGGAATTTGTCTGCCAAAATAACCAAACTATTTGAACTGTCATCATGTTTGTACAAGTTCATGATGGTTATTAGTGGATAAAGATGATATTTTCTGATGTAACCGATTTGTAACTAGGACTTCTAAGCTTTGTCCAATTGTACATCATTCCTATATGTAGCCTATATGTACCCTACCGATTATTCCATTACTTGAGTTAAGCTAAAGACACTGGGATAGGAAATAACTTCTTTCTATTAACCCCTACTAAGAACTACAAAGGACTAAATCCGTTAGTAAGTTATATTGGGATTCAATCTAATGAATCTTAAAAGTAGTTCAGTATAATCAAACAACATTTTGTCCCGTAGTTTTTGTGCAAAATATCTCTTCTAAATAGAAATCTAATACGTAATGTTGTATATGGTTTATTTTTTGTGATTTGCTAGGGAAACCAATATATGTATACTTTTATCCGGTATAAATATGAAAAAAAATATCATCTGTTCAAACATTTTCCTGACGTCAGCTGTTATACTATGCTTGGAATCATAAAATATTCAGGTACAAAAACTCGATGTTGTTTCATTGGACTGCAACATGTTGTCCACTACGATAACCTTTCTAAAATTTTAAATCCTAAGTTCTAAATCAAATCGATAGACTGCGGACTGAAACCGAGTATCTAGTCATTTTCTATTTAGGAATATTGATGTAATCAATAATGTCCATTTTCAAATGATGTTTGTGTGCGTCCCGATGAAAACATAGATGGAATCATTTTGAAATGTAATGAAATTGTTGGAACTTGATTCTTCTTCAGTCAAGAATAAATTGTTCTGAAAATATACCTGCAGTAATTGACCTGAAAACGTACTATTCGTGTTTCATATTCATTTTTGAATATAGAATTTTTTACGAAACTTTTTAGAACTGATAAGAAGATTATGTTTGTGCTGATATTTCTTCACGAGGTTTAAAATATTAATAAACTAAGTAATATTTTATTCCTTATATTCATCAGTATGTCGTCATATGATACAGACACGTATTGAGCGTTCATACATAGAATGCTAATAATGTATGTAGAACGTTTATTAACAATGGAACCTCGATCAATTTCTGGAAGAAATGTTCAATACTCTGAATTGGAAGTAAAGTCGGCAAACATATATACTTGTGAACATTTTCCTTTGAAACGGGTTAAGAATGTTTTGGGTAACCCTACCTTATTAACATTCTTATACTAGTATTTGTGCGATATAAGGAAGCTTTTTGAGTAAACCCGCCACAGTTGTACTAAGCAGGTATGTTTGCTTCCTTTTGATAATAGTAGTAAAACATGCTTATAATTCATGTCCATGAATTGATTTATACTCGTATAACGCAATCAATTGAACGTTTTTATCTTTTCGTTGTTTCCTGTTGTTGAAAATAAAATAGTACAATTAAAATGGAAGTTATTGAGGTACAAGTCATTTTCACAATCACTTACCGATGTCGTGTTGCTATGACAAGGCATAACTGAAGAGTTGTTCCATGGATAAATAATATGAATACGACTGTACGTAAATGCTGAGTTAACAGGTTATCCCTTGGTTGGGAATTTTTTGTCGTTGTTTACACAGAGTTGACAGATTTGTAAAATAAGAACATGCCTTGATATATTTGTAAGATTTCTGAGGTCATTTGTATTACTATATTCATATATATCCTTGATAACTCTCATAATTAAGATCATGAAAAATGAATGTCCAATGAATTATCGATAATTCAGTACTTTGTCTGGATTACGCTCGGTATAATTGCAACTTGAGGTTAAGCAGAACAATTCTGCTCTAGTTAAAAAAATACAAGTTTATATCCGAGTTTTATTATTATTGATTTCTTTGCAAGTATTTCTCATGTGAATATCAGTAATAGGACTGATCTTGATAAAATGAATTTCACATTTAATTTTGAACGAAAATGGACCGTTATCCACTGCAAGTACGAGTATGTGTCACATCCACAAAGCAGATGCTAAACTTAGAAATGTCACACAAAATATCAACCCAATCCAAATCCTACCGCGGGTTGACCACACGAGATTAATCTCAGAAAATTCATTATCAGGTCTTCCCTTTCCAAATCACTTATAATGGCAAAACCTAACTGCACTATGCTTTTCAGCCATCCAAGGGTAAATCTGTCAATGACTATACATTTGCACGTCTCCTTCTTAATTTCCTGGATTAAAGGCAAGCACCAGACTGGAAGAGAGTAGTGTATCTACTATAGTGTACACCACTGTTATAGGGGTGTAATGTGTACTTAAATGTATCGAATGAAACATAAGTAAGGGAATGGCGCTGTACTTTCCCCAGTTAAGGTATTTTTGAAAAACGACAATGTCAAGCTTTTAATAACTTTGAACAGCAAGCTCAACTATGACCTTGGATTTGACATTGAGATCAAGCTTCAAGGTGCTTTGAATGTCACTTATTGTTTTTTAAATGGAATTTATACTCAAATGCAACACCGGCAATCAGCAGATAGAGAAGAAATTCGAACTTTAAGCAAGGTTTCAATATTGACCTTGAACTTGACATTTAGCCTTACTTTCAAAGCCATAATAGCACATGAGAACGTACTAGAACGTGGAATTATCCATTGTCGATGTCAAAGAATGGGGTTCTCATTTCAAAAAGTTGATCTTAAAATGACTTCGAAGGTGAGGTTCAAGGTTGAATTCAAGGTCACACTTAAAATCCTTGTTAAATGTCACTTAAGAGCTGACCTTAAGTTTATAGCCCTGTTAAGCTTCTAGGAGGCTTCCCTGGCCTCGAATAATCTTTGGTTGACCTTTAGATGTGGACTTGATCTTAGTATTTAACTCAAAACAAAAAAATGACCTTGTAATCACGTTAAAAGTGAGGCTCAAGGTCAAATCCAAGGTCACCACGGAACTCCTTGTTTAAAGTTTGCAAAAGCCCGACGTTGGCCTGGAAGAATACATCCGGTACGCAGAAGTAGACGGTATCGGATTATCATATATCAAAGCAAGTCTTTTCACTATGTAAATCGAATTAAAACCTGTGTAAAGAATTGAAAATGTAAGTCGTAATTGTTCCGACCTTATGTACGTGGTAGCGTTCACAATGGCATGGCATGCAATCCCGCCGTAGCGGCAGCTGCAGCGGCGGCTGCGCCGTACACACCCGCCAGATGGTGCTCGAGCGCCGGATGGTGATGCGAGTGGTGGGGGTGAAGCGGCAACAGCGCAGCCGCAGCAGCTGCCGCGCCGGCGCTGTGGTGATGGTGGTGATGCAGTGCGGCTAGAGCATTACCTGTCGGGTAGGGCAGTCCGAAACTAGGGTAGCCCGAGTAGCCGCGACCGGTCGCGTAGGCGGCGTAAGCGGCCGCCGGAAAACCTGAAACATACAAATCATTTATTAAATAGGTTAGATGATTCAACATGTTGAAAAGGTGTATAGAAGCTAGACAGCACAAATTGTCATATATTTACAGAATCGACTACTTCGAGAGTGGAAACAGCAAGCTGACTATTGTATCCTAGTTCGCATTTGACAGTCGATTCACCAGCGTGGCTGCTATATGCCGCCGATTCTGGTGATATAGAAGATATGGTCTACTCGTCATTGAAAAAAACTAGTAATATAGCGAAAATGAGATATTATGTTTTTTTAATCTGATGTGCATCATCATGTACATCACGAAAAACCTTGTCACTTATTTTCGTCGGTCTGTCTGTCTGTCCTCTAATCTTATAACTTTAGAAGTGCCGCTCGGATTTCGATGGAACTTTTTGCACAATGTTACTACTATACCAAGGACACAGAAGCTTTGTGTCCAGAGGCGAAGGAGTAAAAGCCTACAATCAAAAAAATAAAAATCACTCGTATTTGACGTTTCAGAAGTTTATCTCAATTTTACATTTATACGCTTCCAACATTGGTAATTTTACGCACCTATTAGATATATTCCACATATAATAGATTTTACTATACATTAGCCCTGAAAAATATTCTCGGGAGACAGATCGCGTATTTATCGGCCGCGGCATCTGCTAGCGTTCTGCGCCGACCGCCATGACTGTTCTGTTATGGAATCACACGTATCTGCCCGAGTTAGATATCGGGGATTTTTTTCTATACCGAAGCAGCCGCACAGGCAGAATACTAAATGCCAGGACACCGCGGCTGCTATGAGGATCCCAAATAAATTTTGTAAATCCTATTTTTGAGCGGTCTAAGGTTAGTAAAGCTTGTAGATTGTTCCACAATCTCGACACCCTCAGGACAAACGAGCGGTCGTGTCGGCCAGTTCTGGATGAACGAGGAGAGGCGTGAGGAGCAAAGCCCGTTGATGTAGTGGTAGAAGAGAGCTAGATTGCCGATGGCTCGCCGCTATGAAAGGGTCCCGAGGCTGTCTGTTAGAGAAGAGTCATATAGAACAGTCGGACCGCCCTACTCTCGACAGCATCGAGCATAAACGTGTGAGCAATACTCGACTCTAGGACTTATCTGGGCCTTTTGTCGACTGAGGAGATCATGCGGAGAAAAGTACTTCTTAGCCCTAACCAAACAGCCTAGCTTTTTTCCGGCAGCTGAAGCTATTGACAACAAGGGTTCGTGCCAGATCAAGTGCTCGGTGGCCTAGACTCGGACAAGCTGAAATGAACGGCTATTTAGCAGAACTCGGCCATCTATCGAGTCCGGATGAGAGCTACGAGGCTGTTTGTTCGTCAATGTACACTACTGTGTTTTGGGAGCATTTAACTGTACAAGATTGTTGCGTCCCCCATTGATAATCTAGAGGACTCTCGTCAGAAAGGAAGCCATCGCCCGTCTTCTTTTTTTCCAGCTCACCGGCAGACACCGGCTTGTCGTTCAGATTTCGAGCATGTGGATTGGCGTCGTTCCCAGATGTACTACCGGTAAGGCAGCGAATGAATGTCTATAGTCTAATTGTATATAGTCCTGTTGGACTGACCTTTTTCTCAGAGGATCTAGTTTGTACTGAATATATTCCTTTAAGTAATGACTAGCTCGTTGCGAGGGAAGTGCAGAGTCAAACTACATACTTGACGCCATTTCTTAATTTGGGACCAGTCTGGCGAGTCAAGCACTTTGAGTAAAATACATTGCGTCGTTGATTTTTTGGTTACCACATCATATTGCTAGTTTTTTTATTAAAAGAATATTCTGTCAGGTTAATATATTTGATGAGCAAACATTGAGCTGCAGATCCGCTTTCATTTTGAGGGTTTTTACAGTGAAATATCCTAGCATCGTTCCGAACTAAAAATTAGCCAATCGCTGTGCGGCTTAAAATCACGAGAATAATTTACGCGTGATCAGAATAATTCTGACATAGTGCGTTGTAGAACCTGAATAAGGTTTATATAGTATGCCGCACAAAATTTTAAGGGATCTCGGCGACACAGAGGCGAAACGTGGACGATTCAGAAAACTTTGTAGTATTTGAACTATTTGATTATTCAACATGAATATCAATAAGGTTGTCTTTTAATCCGTGGATTCGGACTTTAAAAAACTACATCTCCATCCGTCGATGTCACGACAGCTGCAATATCAGCTTTCCTATATTGGAAAGTCGTATGTAGTAACATACAGGTTCATTTAAAAACTTCCCACCACGGATGTATCGAAGACCAGTGATTGAAATAAAAAAATTCGAGACACGTCAAAAGATTTGTCAAGGGGGACAACTTTTTAACCCAAACCTACTTCACCCTAGGATCATCCCCTTAAGAATTTTAAGTGACAAGGGGTAACCTTATTTGAAAGGTCTTTCGAAGTTCAAACTTTCAGGTTAGGGAGTAAGCACAATAGATTTCAAACAGTCCTATAGAAAAAAGTTTAATGGCGCCAAATCAGGAGATCTAGCTGGCCATTCTATAGGCCTTCGTCGCCCCACCCATTTATGTGGAAACTCGTCGAATAGTCGTTGCCGAACTGGAAGAACATAGTAAGGAGCGTCGTCTTGCTAGAAATATATTTCAGCCTCATCAAGTATAGGGTTTCCATCCTCTTTGATTTGGTTTCCAATGGTTTCAGTGATAAGCAGATGGATGAAGAATGGCCCATTCAGTTTGTCTCCTAAAATGCCTGCTGATACATGCATTTTTGGAGATACTGGGTATGCCCTTCTACAAAAGCATGAGGATTTTAATTGCTCTAATACCTGCAGTTATGCTTATTAACAAATGCATTTAGATAAAATGTGAATTCATCACTGAAGCAGATATTCTTCACATGAATGGATCAATAAATTAATTTTCACTATCCCAAGATTGTCACAAAGGTAACTGTCAGGAAATTAATTTTTTTCCTTCTCTTAGCAACAAACAACTAAACAGGTACAACAATACAGTTCGCCCAGGATATCTGTGTTGATGAAAAGGAGGCGGCAAAATTCGGGTTGCTATTTGGTTGTTGCCACGTCTAATCCTCCGAATTGCTGTTTATGTTGGTAGTTTCAGTTTCAAATTATAAACGAATTGAAGATTTGGCAAACCCTAACGGGCAACATTTAAAACACTTATTGAAATATAAAATGATATTTTCGTGTGTTTTTTTCTATCTGAACAAATTAAGATAAATGAAGATTTTTCTAATTTTCTCAAAAACGAATTGACTGATTTTAAAAAATAAAACATCAAAATATAAAATAAAAGACTTCGAAAGACCTTTCAAACAAGATACTACTCGGTACTCCTTGTCATTTAAAATTTTTAAGGAATTGACTCGGGGCCGAGGGTAAAAGGGGGTGAAGTAGTTTTTGGTTAAAAAGTTGTCTCCCTTGACAAATCATTTGACATGTCTCGGCGTTTTTTCTTTTAATCAGTGGTTTTCGGTAAATACGTGGTGGAAAGTACATCGTCTCGTTGGTCCAAGAGAAAGCCTGGTATATTTGAACTCATATTATGAGCGTCATCAAATATAAAAAATAATACATTGATTTAAATACTTTTCACGATCATACGAGGCAAGGGAAGTAAGCCCATTCCTCCGCATCCCCATCGATCGGATCAATCTAATCAGGAATGCGGCATGCAACAGCTCTTAATCCAGCTTACAGCCCATAATTTATTTTTACGGCTAGAAGGAAATCTAAAAACATAAAACGTTCGACAGTGATCGAATGGAGTTGATTAAATTTTATTTCAGATCATATTTGTCCACGACGGTCTTATAAAACTTACAATAAACGGGAAAATTAAAAGATTTATTAGGAATTAACTTTGACCGTATACGTACGGTTTTATTGCAGTCAGCTGAGTACGATAAAACTGTTATGAGCCGTATTTTTGTTGGAATGGTGGAATGATGTTTTTTGCCGAATCATGGTCAGGGTAAGTCGTATTTTTCTGTCACATGCATCGCGAGATTCGGTTAAGACCGAGTAGTGAGATTTTTCTTTAAGCTCCCTTTTTCGCAGCACATTTGAGATATCTAAGGGTGTTTTGTTTATTTTGTTATAATAACTGTAGTGTTATGTGTGTATCTTAGCCCCTATGTGTGATGTAATTACCATTATTTGTGTGCCCTAACAGATCTAAAATTTTATACAGAGTGGCTTATATGAAACTGACTGGTTTGTATCTTGAATATTTGTGAAATGTAATAAAATATTTTTATATTGAGATAGTGTTATTCGATAGAAATACTGCTGTGGTATGGCAAAGAATTTTATTTCCTGGAGAAGTTATATAGTTGGGTAACGCAACGGTTTATTATATATTATTTTTAAAATAGTTTTTTGGATGATATCTAATGGTTTTATGTGAGAACTATTCGCTGCAATATTGCACGACTGTATTGTCGGCGGCTTTGAGGGTCACTAGGCTGTAGTTCTTGGGTTAACCGAATTTTGTATGGCCTCAAATGCAAGTCTTTTTTTAAAATAGTGCATAATGACGTGAAACGAATACCCAGTTATTGATAACGATGTAACGATGTCTGGTAGACGTCTCAGGGCACTCCACTACACTTTCACGAACTCTATATTTTCCGGAGTACGAACAGTTCGAACATGGCCCGATCTTGGCAAGTCTATAACTTCACCTGTTTGTTCAAATTTATGCACCAACTGATGAATGGTGTTGACACTGGGCACATTATTTTGACCGAAATCTTCGTAGCTTCCGAATCGTTGCAACAATCGACTCATTATTTGAGTAAAACGTTTTAACATTACGAACGCGTTGTGGGATCGTGTAGTACTCCATGACACATGTGATTTAAACAACTACTACTGTAATACGTGTATCAAAAATGATGCGCAATTCAAATCAGTCAGTTATATATTGGCCACCCTGTACAAACAGGGATATGGGTAGGTTTACGCACCTTTGTGATTACAGTACAAATTGCGGCATTCGAAATTTCAATTTCTTGCTTGCAGCTTGAATATTTATACAGGGTGACTTTGAAGTTGAGTCATTAATTTTCAGATAATGATTGTAGAAGGAAGATAAACCAAAATATGTATGTAAAAATAAAAAAAAAATGTTACCTTGTTTTATAAAGTATCTTCCCGACAAGTATTTCAGTGCGGACCTGTATTTGATCGTGCGGTCTTGGAGCACCGGCATGCCCTCCCCTGTGAGGCCTTAAGTCACCTGATTCACGAGCCCTTTGTACTACATTAACAAAGGCACGAGAGGTTGGTTGCACTCGATTGGGAAACCGATCCGCATAAATCCGTGATGCCGCGGCAGCATTTTGTAAAGACTCCCCCCCCGTAAATAAGAATCATGTCCACAAGTTCAGCATTTTCGTAAACATGTGCCATTTTTTATTTCGTTTGAGCCACGCGTTACCGACTGACACATTGACTGAATACAAATGAATAAAATTGTAGTAAAAACATCGTGATAAGCGTTTCAAATTCTTTCACTTTTTTGTTTCCGATGCGATGAACCGATAAGGCGGATTATATCCGTTGTTGCCATACACGAGCACATAATATTATTATTGAGTCAGGGCGGTACTCAAACTTCTAAAGGGCTATAACTTTGTTACTTTAATTTTACCACAAAAATGTTAAAGGAATCAGATTACACACTGTTAAAATAAATGACTCAACTCCGAAGTCACCCTGTATATGTAGCCATGCTCTCAATCACAAAGTGTACCTCGGATTTCGACGGCTTGGCATTATATAAGAAAAATTCAGATTTTATGAGGCTTGTCAAAGAGCAATTGTTGTCGACCAAGGAAATTAAATGATTGAGCCTGATCATGTTATGTTCTGATCCAATTTATGGTATTTAGGTATTCAGTAAAAAAATTGTGTGTACTTACCGTCAGGTAGAGCTCCAAGAGACCACATGAAATCTAAAAAAATGAAAACGACCAATTAGTATTCGTCGTTTCATCTCGCGATTGAAACATATAAAAGACAACAGAAAACTATGTTCGCACTATGTAAATAAACGTTAGCATTCATGAAATTTCAACTACGTGTCTAAGCTACTAGTTTCAACTCAACGCATTAAGCTGTCAACTAAGGCTCGATCGAACTCATTTGTTTCAATAGTTAACGGTTAATGACAGGTGTAGTACGGCCTGCGCCAAACAACAGACTAATCTACCTTCACTATGACACTACACTCCAGAAGTTTGTACCACTAAATATGAACCACGAATTTGTTAGGAACTGAGAGCCTGGCCGAGAAGTATGTTATACGTTTTTGCAGTTGAAATTCACCAAGTAAGCAATTTCAAGTAGGACGGAGGATTAAGAAGATAACCAAACTGTGGTACCAGTGTCAGAAGATTTTTAAACGTTGCAAACATTTTAAAATCTATTAAATGCCCAAACACTCCAAAAACTTGATATTGATGCATTTTAAAAAATGTTCCATCAAAAGTTTTAGGAGATCAAAGAAGGCAATTTTTTGGTCACCTCTTATGAACTAGAGGTCATTTGGAGGCCAACTTCGCGAATTCCGATAGTAATCACTATGTTTGAGAGCCTTCGTGTACTTTTTAGATATTACAGATTGACATAAAGGTTTAACCAGTTATGACCGACTGACTTCACGTAAGAAAATTGCTTTCTATGTAGAATTTCGTATTGAACACGCATCTCTTGTCAAAAATGATGCTATTAAAATCTACTAAGTTGTCAAATGATCTATTAGACCATTATAGCTTCTTTTGATCAGATGATATTTGTGAAAGTCTATTTTTGAAAAAAATCATGGTAGCCAAGTTATCGGGGTGTTTAAATAATAATAGATTAATTATATGTTTAATTACTAATTATTATATCGCGATACTGATACCCTAATAAAGAATACTACCTTGCGATTTTAGTATTTGATGTATACAATTACTCATAAAATTACTGAAACAATTTTACAGATGCACCATAGATAGAATTAAGAATACTTCTCGACCAGAAATCATATTTCTCGTGCTCTTCATACGCTATGTTAATAAAAATTGTACTAGCTCTCCAGTGCCGGAATAGCGTCACTTGATGTAGAAAGTATTAAATTTAAAACTCCACGTGTATCAGCTTTGAAGGCTGAGCAAAACAAACTTTTCCGATGGAAATATGAAAGTCAAGACATATATGTGTATTTCAAACGCTCTTCCAGCATTCGATCTAATATATTCCTTGTACTCTTCTAAGTTGTAAATATAACGGAGCTTTAAGTAAATATATGCAACTAGACTCTGCTCAACTAACTATATAAATTTATGTAGTAAGTTATATACGCTCTTATTAGCCTGCACTCCGAAGTAGAGTTTGCTAGAAATTTATATACCTATGTGTCACATTAAAGCTACAGAGTTGTACAAGAAAAAGATACACCTCCAAAAATTACTAAAATTGCTACAATTGAACCAAGTTAGTAGAACAAGGCTTTCCAATGAATAAGTCAGCGTTTATAAATTGGCAAAAGGTGTTGCATATGAAGTTTTTCCACACATATTTTTTTGCTTAATTATTAATGATAATCCAGCTTAGGGCTGTTTGAAAACGTAAGCATCAGAAGACATGGATCTGCATTTGTCGAAATGACAAGCTGTAAACTATTACCATTATACCAAAGATATACAAAGCACTTTCTGACAGAGCCTTGAAGTATTTCTTTTACGATTTCACTCGGTGAAGCATGTCTAGCTAAACTTTTTGAATATCAGTGTCAATAACTTGAAAGTTCCAAATTAAGTCAGTGTATCTCTTCTTAAAGAAATAATTAGCTATTTTCCTGACGATTAAAGCCATAGTCGACCACGCACTTGGAAAGCCCTGTACAACATTCATTAAAGTTTCTAGACTAGATTACACGTTATTTCACTCACTTTACTGTTTCGTTTACAAACAACGGCAATTAGTGGCTCGTCGGACAAGTTAAGCACAGCAAAGTGAGTTGTGAACAATGTAAGCCTATAAAATGCCCACCCGTCTCGACAGTACGCTACAAAACGGCGTTGTTGATGTACACATTCATATAAAGCTAGTTCGCTCTCATACTGGTACGATTATATTGATAGCAGCTTTGCATTGGCAAGAGGAGCGAACTTATTTATGTTTTTATTTTCCAATGTATAGCTCGATAAAAGCAGCTTGATCTGTGAAAATCGTATGCTAAACATATTTTTGAATGATAATGTACCTAGACATTCAGCATCTAACTGTGTCGTCTGAGCCTGTTGCTGCCCAAAATAAACTTAATTATTTGTTTTCGATTCACTGAATCTAAAAGAACTATTTCAAACGATTACAGCTTTCGTAGATGTTGCGGTCCACCAGAATTCATAATTTATGCAGAAAAAAATTATTTTCAAGATGAATTAGAGCTGTATCATAAAACGATCATGATGTAATGACAATAAACAAACATATTGCTCTTTTTTTATCTCCTAGTGATAACTGAATGAAGCCACCGATTTTGAAGAAGACCTTACCCCTGATAACACATGTAATTATGAAGAAATTACTAGTTCAATTTACTGTCTTTCTGAAAATAGAAAACTTATACGTTTTGTAAGAACCACCGATAGGGATAGAGCATTTGTATTAAATCTAAGTATTGTCTAATAGCTATACAATAGTTTAGATCGCACCTTCATGAGGCTAAGGTATAGCGTAAACCAAGCCAGGTGGTCGGCATCTCAGAAAGGACCAACAAGGAAGATACCTTAGGGGGTGACCTGAAAAGGAGGTACTCATGCCCCGACTTGCGTGAATCTCTAGTTTGTTACTAATCTTTCCACTTCAAAATTCATCAGTGTTTAGGGAATGAATAATAACAAGGATCTTTTCAATTAAATTTTGTTTGATGAATAGGTAACCCCAATCAGAATCGTTTTGACATAATGAAAATCAACAGATTTGATTTGAGGGAAAACCAGCAAACAGCATCATTCATATGCTACGCGCTTCTTATACTTGCCGCCCAAAGAACCAAGTGTCACACAGACTTATGAAGCACATTTAGGTGTGAAGTTTTTTGGGATAATACTTTAACATATTTACCATGTTAGACTGATTTGGTTGCTAATCATATATTTACAACTGAGTTATCCTGGTATACATACAGTGCTTTTCAAAAAGGTTTCCCTCCTACTCATTTATAATAGCATCCAGTAGGTGTGTCTACTGTGATCAATTGAACAAGCACATATTGAGAACCAACTAACAAGCGATGGACACGTGTTACAAAAAACAAAAGAAACACCGATATTGGGAGTATTTAGGGAACAACAATGCTGTAGCATTTTATGTCCGCCTATTTGAATTAAGAATTAGCACTGATATAAGTCACCACAGCGCTGTCACGTCCTGAATGCGCCCATTTGGATTGGAGGTTACCAATATTCATTGACATTATGATATAGTTTAGAAATACAGGTTAGCTTTGACACTTGATGAAATTTCATGTGCTACAATAAATTCATTTGGCTAGATTTGGTTAAAAATAGATGTCCAACATGACCTAAAACACCTACGGTGACGGGCTGCCGCTACATTTTTATAAAAAATAGAAGGTTCCAAGGCCTATACAAATTCTTCCTGAAAAAATATAATCAATACTAGTACTTTGATACTATTGACCTAATCAACTAAACATCTACTGGTGTTAGATATGTATAGAGAGTCTCCTATGCATAATTATCCAAAGGATTTTGAGCAAGCAAAATGTAAAACAAAACGAATTCAGCACGACAGGTTTCTTAAATTCTTTGTTTATTCAATAACACGTTTCTGCGGATTGATGATTACGTACGTGACAGAAGCAAGTTAGCGGTTGACCAACAAGTTGTAAGCAAAGTTTCAGCGTGTGTCGCAAAATATGGACATAATAGGCATTGATTGAAAATGATTTAGGTACCTCAGGTCTGGAATTGATCAAAGAACCTTAATAATAATGCCTCGTTGTCTGAAATGGGATAAGACTAATTTTTACCTTTCTCTTTCAAAAGGGGGGGGGGGTAAGTCTATACTGATGAGTACATAGAAAAAACCAAATGGGCACGAGTTTGCAAATTGCATATTGAAGTGAAAAAATGATATTAGTAAAAAGTTTCCGGCAAATATTTGTATCAATTGTACCGATCATTTTACTTTGATTGGTTTAGTATCAGAACGTGTTGCGACAAATGGCCTTTCAACAGATTGCATTTTTTTGTATTAATGCAGTATCTATAAATATACAAATGTCAATTATTTAACATCTCTGGCATAGCCGTGGATGTTAAATTGATTTTTGTGTCATTTTGATTTTATAGCTGGACAATTCGTACGAGTGGACAAAATAGAATGAACCTACCATATATAATTGGAGCACATTTTGTGCTTTAATTTAATTGAGCTAAAATCTACATGAATTCCAAAAAAAAATTGAATTTAGAGTCAACTGCGAGTCTATCGTTGGAAGTGTCAAGAAACCTACTTTTTGTGTGTTTTGAAATGAGTATGGTGGGACAATGAATTGTATAAAATGGTACATCAGACGTAGCAGTATTGTGAGGATTGCTCACCATAAAGACTACTAAAGCTCTCACCAGTTTCTATTCATCTCAACCACCGTTGTCAGATTGAAGGAAGCATTAGGAATTATTACGACTCAAAAATCAATACAATTTTACCACCCCATTCAAATAGCTTCTTCCAAGAGAGAAAAGCCCTTGCATTCCACTACTGGAAACTGTATTGGATGTAAAACATGATTTGTTAATTATTACATTTAATAGGGTATGCCAGTTACGCTGTAAATATTTTAAATTTCATTATTGCATAAGGCTTATATGTATATTATGGAAACGTTCTGGATATTTACTGATTTAATAATAATCGTAATTCATATTAATTTATT